CTTTCTAAACAGAGCTGGCAGACAGGTATGCACAATTGAAGACAAAAACAACCAAAGGAAAGTAATTCACTGTAGAGATGTACGTACCTACACAAAAAACCCACAAAAGAGACATAGCTATAAGTCCAGAAATCAGAGGAAGGCAGGACTCTGTACTACCTACTTCACCATGAGCCAGCTACAACGAGTGGCTGCTGCCCTGTTGCAGGGTGAGAACATTCACTCCCTACAGCTTCGGACAGTATCACATGAATGGAGCTTAGAGACAAATCCATCTTTATTTAGAACCTTTCTACAACACGTCTTTGTCACAGTGTCAAGAAAAAACAATATTTGAAAGGAAGTAAGCTGTAAGGTACCCCGACATAAAAACACGGACAGTGCTGGCCTGAAAGCAGATAGTATTTGTAGATAAATAAGATACGGAAACACTGTTCTTAAGCAGCAGACACAAACTTCCAGTGTAAGAAATACAGTATCACCTATATAGTAGTAGCAGTTATAATAATTTAAATGTAGAGTTTTAAGCAAAGCTGTAAAGAACTAACACATACCTGAATCTGTCTTCAAATGAAACAAGAAATAAGTGTACCTCCCTTACTAAATATACGTGGCAAGGCTCTAAAGAAGATGCATTGTGTTCTGTGTGGGAGAAAGAGCGGGAAATGCCTTTTTTTTTTTTTCTGTGGCCATCAGAAAACCCCAAAACTTTGAAGTGCAAGTTTTTGTATATATTTGACGAGTTCCCTATGGTAGTCATAACTAAAAATTATATTAGAATATCTGAGGTTGTCACACATGGGCCTGAAAATACTTCTAAATGGCAGTAGTTAAGTCAATGGTGAGTTTCTGCTTTTTTGAAACATCAAGTTGATTATGCTTGTTAAGATATGGTTACACATTGCATAGCAATGCACAGTATAGTATATAGCTACTATGTGAAACGTACATATGGATTATAAATATGCACACCAAGTAAGTGGCAAATGCAACTCAATAATGAGACAGAAATAGCTATATCACCAAGCATATATTTTCAGAGAACATGGATACTGACAGATATTTAATAAGAAAAAAAGAGTAGTTGTATGTGGTGGAAGAAAAGGAGTTTGATTATTTGACTGCCACATACTTGTGATTTTATTAACTGCCTGTATCATTGTTTCTCTAAACAACCTCCCCCAAACCATAGCAGCTATTTGAGCCTTTGAAACCTGGCTCTCTGCTTGAGACTAGGCTATAAATCCAGTTATATAAATTGAGCAAGTCAAGGCAAGGTATGAAATAGGAATCTGAAGAAGAAAGTGTGTGCCTGGAATGGCATCTTTTCTCCAGCCACATCACTGATGAAATAAAGATATTATCTCTTTCTTTAAATCCTATTTCATTCATATTCTTATACTAATATAGCACACTAAGGACCAGAAAGTAAAAAGGTATCAATGCTTATTTTTAACAAAACTTACAATAAATGTAAAATAAAAAGTCTATATTTTCAACAATAAAGAAATATTTACTCTTTTGTCAAGCAAGTATTGATAACTGTACTCAGTTTCATTCTCAGCTAAATAATAATCCCTTCAATTTAAAAACTAAATGCATTCAGTTCTTGCTTAACCATCTGAGGAAAAAGAAGAATGAATATTAGGAAAGAAGTCAAAAAGATATGCAGAGCCAAAAAATGCTTGCAAGGACAAAGTTAACATCTAAGCAGAATTAGTTACGTATAGTAGGAGGAGAAAAAGATGTATATAGAAATTGTATCAAAACACAGTAACAACATCAACAGCGGTCTGAGGGACACAGATGTCAATAAATCAGGTGAGTACATACATAGCCTATTTAATGAACAATATCGTCATTCTGAATACACCTTTTGTAGTATCCAGCTTGGGGGGGATAAAAAAACTTCAGCAAAACATATCAATCTGAAGTCTTCTGCATAGAGGCAACATCAGCATGGCTATTTACTACTGGCTAGATGAGCTAGAATTCAAGAGCCAAAAAGCAGGTAACATTAGGATTAGGGACTTAGTAGAATACAGGCTACCTCAGTATGCTAGCGATTATTAAGAATTCTATCTACCCACTGGAGAAGTCAATCTTACGCTTCAGGACATTCATGTGGTTTGACTCTGCCATTAAAATATACTGTTCAGGGTGGGGTTGGGGAAGGAAAAAAGTATTTCAGAGATGTAAATTAAAAGAAACTTTTGGTTGATATTGTCATAACCAAAAAACTCCACAGTAATAACACCAGCGATACACATTTATTTTAATTATTTTTAAAGAACTGCACATCCTACACTTCACACACTCTCCTTTTATGGGAAAGTTTCCCAAAGAGCAGCAAAAATCCTATTCTTCAGAACTGTTTTTGAGAAAAGACAGAATTAATCATTTTGGAATACACTTTAGGAAAAACTTGTACTGGCAAAGATGCCAAATGATCAAAACTTTCTCCTCCTGTAGCTTCCATGGTTCCTCAAGGCAATAACAAAATAGGGCTTGACAACAAAATTAGGGTCAGTGTATGAGTCACACTGCAGCCGATTACATATATAAACTGCATATAATTTCTTCACAATTTTTCTGACAGGGCTATTTTTAAACTATTATAGCAACTACCTTCTAAGTAACAATGCACTAAAAAAATATGTTTGTACATTTAACAAAACAGAAAGGAAGGAGACTACTACCCTTCCTTACTTTAACACATCTGAAGAAGTTACATGAATCAGAAAATTGTTACTGATGTTCAGATAAATTTTGAAAAACAGAATGCTAGAACACTCTTAATATAGCAAAGGGGAATTCCAGATATAACACCAGAAAGATAATGTTTCCTTAAAACATCTTGCTTGGCTCGTGGGGGTTGTGCACACTGTATCAGTTGGGCCAACAGCACCTCTTTGACTCTGCCTATTCCCCCATAGCTTTGATCCCCTTTCTTTCCAAGTCCCTGCAAGAGTGTTTAAGAACCAACTGCCCTCAAACGCTTACTCTGCAGCTATTTAAAACCATTATAAGCTCAGCAGGAAGGGGGATGGAAGGTAGATGCTGGAACACAGGTACGCAAAACACCTCAAAGATTTTTGATCGTAGCAGGTATCTGTCCCTTCTCCTTTGAAAGATTCTCAGCAACTTGCACAGAATCTTTCAAAAATGGAGGAAAGGAAGAGTATTTTAATAAGAAAAGGGAAATATATTGTTATTCTACTGAGCTGATGTCTGACCGGTATCCCAAACAAACTGGTAAATGTATACAAAGACACATGTAAACATTTCACTAACCAGATAATCCCACAGTTGTTTAGGCTGCCTTTCTTCTAATTGAGGTAACCTCAAACTATTTTCTAAAGGAGTGTTTTGGTTTGAAGCAGCAGTGCTGTTCTGAAATTAAACTTACGGTCAACCCCACTTATCCAGGCACTGTGCTGGTTTGCAGAGGAGTCTCGGTGTGCATGGACTTGTTCTCTTTTAGAAGAAAGTAACCAAGAAGCTTCCCTGGAAGTATGCACCAACGTGCTCTAACCTTTCACATCTCCATTACGGTCTGAATGGATGACTAATCCTTTGGACAGTTTTGTAAGTCTGTTCTGACACAAAAATGACCTGCTTTGAGCAGGGATTTGACTAGAAGACTTCCAGAGATACCTTGTAGTGAGCTATTTTATGGTTTTATGGAAAATACCAAAACTGCACACAGTGTCAATGCAAGCATCATGGCACTAACTGATTTGATGCTATTATTTCAAATTATTTGCTAATGTAAACATAGATTTCCATGTCCAATAATCTTACTTACCAGCTTTACATTCTGATTTAATACAACACAAATTACTCTGGGTACTAAAGAAGTTTTCTGTGGCAGCATAGATATCTCTGCAGGTTTCTTCTCGAAGGTAGATTAACCTGTGCGATGCTCATTGTCGCCAAAGCTAGACTGCTGCAGAACTCAAGTTAGCTTCTTTCAAGTTAGCTCAGATATTTGCACACCACACTGATAAATGCAGTTAATATGCTGCCTGTGTTATACAGGATGAGGAACTAGAAAATCATAATGACATGTACAACCTGAAAAAAACACTGTCAATCATTAAGTGGTGGAAATTAGCTTTAAGCTTGATATTATCATCCTCTCACAGTGGTTAATGATATCCATTATAAACCAGAATTAATTCCAATTTATCTGCATATTCATTAGCAGCTCAGTATACAACCTCTCATCTCTAGCTATGTGATGATTTTAAAATATGCTCAGTGCTGTCATAGTGATTCTACTGCCTCAGTATGAAGATGTACTTCTTATTTTGTCCTCCTCAAAAATGGTAGGGGGAAAAAAGCAAAGAGAGAAAATGCAAAGAATGAAAGAAAATTGAAGAGTCATTCAAAAGTTGGAAAAAGGCGAACTGAGATGATCTGTGCAAGTAAAAAAAAAACCCAACAAACCCTTACAACAAAATGGTGTCAACTTTCCCAGAATCATAATTAAATGAGAAGGTTTGTATGTCTGGCATCTAAATATTTCCACTTAAATCTTATTTCCTAAGAAAATTAAATTTATAAGATGTTTTCTCTTTCCACCCATTCATCTGAAATAATTTGTCAACCTTTGTCCAGATTCAGTTAATTTTGCTAAGAAGCAGAAGTCTTGCTAATAAGCAATTTTTAAAAAGCTTCCTCAAGAAAAAAAGAAAAAAGAAAAAAAAAGAAAAAAAAAAAGAAAAAAAAGAAAAAAAGAGACTTCCACAACAGTACCCCAGTCATGTGTTGAAATGTGAGTGAGAAAGCAGACACTGCGGGTATTTGTGTGAGGACTAGTGAAAGATGGAAGTCTTTATGATGAGAATATGCAAACAAGCTGACAAAACTCCCTTGGAAGCTATGTTTCCTTAGTTCTACTGGTCATGGAATAATTTCTTTACTGGGTTCACTGCTGCTGCAACAGAAATATTTATATCTTAATTAGCCAGAAAAATCCAGACAGTGAATCCTACCACATCTGTTCCATGTCTTCTTTCCAGCAGAAGTCGGAAGATATTAGCTGTAATCTTGTTATCTTGGACACCTTGTCCAAGGCCACGGTTGTCATCCTGCATAAGTCGACGATCCATGATCACTTCCAACTGACCTGAAAGAGCAATACAAGGATTATACTGGTAACAAGAATATGTAAAGCTACTAGTAAACGTAAAAAAAATACCCTGAAATATAACTTAAAGAATCACAATTTTTCTGTTGCATATGGAAGAGTAATAGCAGATCAATATTGTTAGGACTGATTATGAAAACAGTTAATACCTTTGGGCTTTGGCTGTTTATAACCTTCCAAAAAATTTTCACAAGATTTTCAGAAGAAGGTACTGCAAATTTTAACATAAGAGTCTAAATAGAAGTTTCACATGAAAAGTTGTTACTGTTAACTGTTATTTTTAACAAGGATACTTGGCACATCAAGCATCAAAGAGGAGAATCACCCCAAGTAACTGCAGCTGTATGGAGAGACCTTCTGTAGAGGAACTGTCTTCATCTTACACTCCATAAAAGACTGCACCTCCCAAATGTATTTTTTCCTTTTTTTGTTTTACAGTTGGAGGCAGAAAGAAAAACAGGTAGGCAGTATGAGTATATAAATACTCACGATCACTCCTTCTTGTAAGGGTATTTTCACTTGTGGGAGCAGGAAAGAACTTTGCACCAGATGAACGCTGAGTATGAAGTTCTCAGTTTATACTGAACTGTAGCATTGCCATTCAGAATAGCTCTTTAAGTATGATGTTAAATCATGAATAGCCTTATGGAAGATAAAGTTCATATCTTTTCAAGTTTATATCTCCAGAGGGAAACCAGTTTGGGGCACGTAATTAAGGCTGTTACAGTTTTTGCACACTGAATCTTCAAACAAATGTACTTGTTTCCTAAATAAAACTGGAAGACTGAAGCACTTGTTTCCTAAATAAGAAATGCACAATTTAAGCTACTAGAAAAGGCTGCTTAGTAAGGCGGTCTCTTTTATTCTTCTTCAGTGTTCTACAAATACTTATCCAATTTTCCTAAATACTTGTTCTTCCCTTCCCTCAAGTAAAAACAGATTTTAGGTATCCAGGACAGAAGTCAGATGGCAATGAGTAAGAAACAAACTACCATTTTGAACTAGGTATAAAGCTAGGATTGTGCCTCAAATTGATGGTCTTTGTGGATCACTGTATGGACTGACTGACAGGTATGCTAACTCTCTGAAAAAAACTAGAACCACAGTGAGAAGGACAAACCTATGATAAACTTTGACAAAAGTTTTCAAACAAAACTTAGAAGATCTAGATCCAAAACTACCTAACCACATTTCCAACATTTTTTAAGAAGCTAAGATAATGAAGGCTGACAAAATAAAGCTTTATTATTCTTAAGGCGATTGTGAACAGCAAATACAAACAAAATGATCAGTGCTGCTAAAGTCATAAAAAACATTTCAAAAGTGGGTCAAAGATTAAAAGAAGATTGTTTTAGGGAAAATTCTGGCTTATAAATGGTATAAGTGTATCGCATGAGGCTTCAGGACATAAGTGACCTCTGCTACCCCATTAATTATCCATCAGACTGCAGGGAAGTCCACCTCTGAATGACAGTGGTGCATCCCATCTATCTGGAGGTCTTCCCTGGGGCATGGAGGATAATCCACTAAGTAGTAAATTAGAGTAGAACTGGACAGAACCTACAAGGTGGAAGATGTTCATCACCTAATGTTAAAAAATGATTATGCACCCAACACCACAAATTAGAAGAGAGATGGTAAATAGGAATAAAGTTGTGGCATATGTATTTTAGAGTTTTTGATCAAGTCTCTTACAAGCTGATGTTGAAGACTTATGACAATACATTGAGAAATCCTCCTCCATACTGCTGAGATCATCTGACAGCGTGAGAGTTAACTAACTGCTGCATAGTAAGGAACCTTTCTCTAATCCTGGGTTATGCTTTGAGACACACAGTCTCAGACGCACAGATACACAGCTACTGGAGGTGCTTGCCTAAACTGTAACGTTTTTTAATTTTCTTCCAGGATCCCTTTGAGATCCTAAAGGGCCTTCAAAAGAAGTGTCATGAAGCATATGACTTTCAGCAGCCACAGAACCTTCATCTTCATTTTTGTTCTCTTTTAAGGAGTCCAACATGACCTCAGGACAAAGGTAGTAAACACAGTCCTTTCATGAAATATTACCTAATGATAACAAGTCAGATGAATACATTCTCCTCTTTTATAGTAGGCACAGAGTAAATATTTCATATTGCTAACTATCTCTTAACCTTGAGTGACATAATAGAGTTTGCCAAAGAGTGACATAGTTAAGAAATTAATGCCATGACCAGGTATGGGATACATCATTTGCTCTTTTATTTAACTGGAGTAGGGCAAAAGCCTCTAATATCCTCTGACTGGGTTGAAACCAATGCTCATAGAAAGCCAGCCTCCTGCAATATGTCAAACAGTGCCAGCCTTAACGTCCCTAACTTGAAGACAGAGAGTGGGGGTCTCTGTGGACTTAGATGTTGCATTATTCCGTGATGCAGAGACTATGATTGTTAAAGAACAAATACAGACACTATTACAATGTAATGGAGCCTCTGCACACTAATTTAGTCTCCAATACCTATGTAACAAATGCCTACAAACATTTGGTAGTGTCAAGTTCATTCACAAGATCAGGCCAAAGGGAATTTGGTTTCTAGCAATGGAAAGCATGAAAAAAATGTGGTTTGGGTCTTATATCAGGTGGTCTTGGAACAAAAGGCTGATATTTCCACTATGGCTTTATTAAAGCATCAGTCTATAGGCCAGTGTTAACTCTTTGCCCTAAAAGGAATTACATTTGTTAATACTACCATCAATCTAGTGCAGTATCCACCTTTTGTCAGAATAGACATTAATATGACATTTTTCTGAAAAGAAACTGGGAAGTAGGTTTTGGCACAGTTTCTGATGGGCTTTTTTTCTTCTAAGTATTCATTCCGTTGTTTTTCAAAACCGTGTAAATTTAAACTCACAATATTTTACAGCAAGAAATTACACATCTTAAATTATGAATTATATACCTTATTTTGCCCACTACTTGCTAGGTTTATTTGAATGCCTCCTCAGCAGTATAGACTGAACTGACCTCTGTTTCCATCCTTCCAGGTCATTCATCACAGCCTTCCCTGCTGTAAGGGACAAGACTGCGTCCCTTTTGGAATTCTTAATAAGAATTGATTTTTCTTGTCAACATATTCATCAGCTCTTTGAAAGTACTCCATTAAATTTGTGAGGTATGATTTTGCTTCAGAAGAAGTATGTTGATTCTTACCAAGGGTCATTTTTATCCTTTATTTCACTAATTCTACTCTTCAAAAAAGCTGCTATTGTTTTCTTTTACAGGAATGTTAGGCTGTACTGCGTATACCTTAAGACTAGTGCTTTCTACCCTAAAGCAAACAAACAAATCAAAAAACCTGATCAGCATCACATTATCCATCTTAAGCCCTCTGCTACCAGAGCAGTACAAAAGAGAACAAACCACTTAGTTTTGCTGTTTCATCCTTGAGTTCCATCAGAGTTCTTGGGTGAAAAATACCTGGTTCTGACATTTTGTTGCTCATTTTGTTTTTTCATAATCTCTTTCCTCTGTTTCTAGTTTGAGGCAGATTTTCTATTGAAGATGACAGGATCTCACGTGGAAACAACCTCCACCTCCTCCCTTATGGACATATTCTAAAACTTGTCAGAGTTGGAGAAACGTATTTCCTTTCTTCAAACGCCAGTAGGTATGGTAATCTCTGAATGAACTATTTCAGACAATCATGAAGGACAGGCCTTTATAATATCTATCATCTTATACTTACCATTTTTCAAGCTTGCAACACCTAGAGACTGAGCTGAATGAAGCGTCAAACGAACGCCAACATCTTGGATATAAGCCATTGTAGTCATAGGATAGATATTTGCTTGAAGAGGCAATTTGCTCATCGTCAGTCTGGGCTGGATCTGCAGTATGAACACGAACTTCAATAAAATACGTTCTTTTTATGCATTTAAATTTCAAAGACCTTTTCAGACATTTATCCCATGTGCTTTAGAAGTACTGACTGACAACCGGCACCAAAGCATTCACTCGACTGTATTATTTAGCTTTTTGGAGATTTATAGCTAAAATTACCACTTTGGAAATGATAACTTCAATGTACTTTTAGATCAAAGAATATTTAAAAAAACCTGAAAGATTCATCAAGGGAACCTACAAAAAAAAGGAATAATCACAGTTATAGAATGAGAGAAAATTTTTTCTCCTCTAGAGAGCAAGCAGTGAATAGATTCAAGGTAGCAGAAAAGGAATTGTTAGTTTATAATGGGAACTTTATTAAAGTGCTAGTGGAATTCTTGAATGGTACATGACAAATGAGTAGTAGTATTAAAATTATTTTCATGTTTAAATATTCACTTTACTGTCTCCAGCAAAATGCAGTATTACACACTAACTGCAAAAACAGTAGTCTCTTACTCAGCAAGTATGGTTTTCAATGTATTTGCAAAACTATTTTTAGCAAGGAAGGAAGGTAAGAAAATTTTCTTTCTTTTGTGCATGCTGCAGAGTCCAAGTTAAGAAAATAGTCATACTATATTTCATCAGATGCATTACCAATAGAACAAGCTATTACACTCCAAAAATACATCACTTATTTCCACCACAGCAGCAAGCAGTTGTTCTCTAGGTCTGAACTGCTGGACCTTATGCACATCTAGCGTTGTGCTACCCAAAGGGCTCTAATTAATTAGACAAGGCAGAGGGGAAAGAAGGCATGCAGATATACAAGCAACTACATGGTGGCTTGACATAACTTGCTGTATTACAATTCTTATGGTAAAAAGGATATACAGGAATATTTAACAAACTCCTTGAAAGAAAACAGTTGCTATTTCGTCTAGTTTAAATCAAATTTTCTAACGGATAAATTTTTAAAGCTTTTTTCCTTTTAAATGATTAGTGAAGTTTAACATGAGAGTTTGATTAATATGACTCAAACTCTTTACAAGCAAAAGTATTAAGACAGTCAAAAACTGAGGCCCTAGGCTTTTATAATTAAGAGACAATAATTACCTGATATCCATTAAGATCAGTATAGAATCTATTTTGACTGTTTATGTCAGATGAAATTCTCATTGCAAGCTCACGATTATATTCTCCTCTAATATCCACAATATTGGAAACTTCAAGAGACTGGCCTTCCAAACCTACATGAAAAAGATGCATTTAAAATCTCTCAATTTTTAACAGCCACTACCACAGAACACAGTAACCTAGCTTTCCCCTGCTAGTTTTCCTTTTCTGTTATGTCTAACCAGATATTTGAAGCCAGTTCAGTTATATGCCATATGCAATAGTAGTACTTCTAATTCAGTACTCATTGAATAGACAGTCTGAAACCTTCACTGAAGTAGAACAGAAGCAATTCATAGTAAGAACCAACGTGGGTTCCAGTAAATCAGTAGGAAACAGCTCACAACTGTTAAGTGCTGTCTTTAGCAGCAGCTAATATGCTGGAACAAGACCTAGCCATTCGCTTCTCAACTTGTCTGTTGCCATTCACAGACAAGAATGAAGTTACCAGCTTCTTGACAGCAACTGTTCCGCTAAGCAGGAAACTGGTCAGCTGTTTTAACCAAAACAGGGAGAATTGTCCTTAAGGACAGTGAATTAAGAAACCGCACACTGATATGACCACAACCAGGACACAAGTCTTTGTCGACAGGGAAAAGATGTCTATTTATTAAAAGAAGGATTAAGTATCTGAAAATGCAGACAGCTGTTCAGTGAGATTTTTTTCTACAGTGCCTGGCACTGAAAATTAAATACCTTGAATAATAACCTGACCTTTTCAAACAGTTCGAGACACAGTTTGGACTGGAATCATACCATCATTCAGCATGACCACTTCTATCCTTTCTGTAGTCTAATGGGACTAACAATTATGAAAAGAATTCCGCCAAGCAGAACAGAGATATGAAATTTCTCTTTGTAGTGAGATGAAATTACATTGTGCTTGTCTGATGGATTGTAAACAGAAGACGGTGGAAAGTGAGGGACTGATTAACCAACTTAGTCCTTTAAAACCTGAAGACAGTATTTAAAAATCTTAGATACTAAATACTTTTTTTTTCCCCAACAGTTCACTGTATGTCAACTCACAAGACCCAGAGGCATGCTCATCAGTTTGGGCTCCTGAACTGTAGGATCTTTTGCAGAAGGACAAAATACCTTCAAATAAAATTCCTAGATTCCTAAGCACATAGACAGAGGTTAGGACAACCTCTTTTTCTTTCTACACATAGAGTTTTCAAATTTTTTTAGCAGTTCTGTTTAAGAGCATGTTGGAATAGTTTCCTTAAGGAGGTCTTTGTCAAATTCTGAAACGCTCTGAACCTTTACACAATGGAATGCTGGAAGTGTCCGCCTGCTTCAGTTTTTATGCTATTATTTAGTATGTATACTGCAGTCAAGGTTGTGATTTTGTCACCTGAATGAGGAGGATGTCAAGCTCTCTATTTGTTTCCTCATCTTTTTTAAAATCTGAATGCCACCTGCAGCAGTACCAGCAACTGTTAAAAAGTTAACATTTACCAATGGCTATTATGCTATAGTGCTAAACAAAAAACATTTGGTTTAGGTAATTACTTCTATTTTCCCAGACCTCGTCTGGAAAAAGTGGATCTATACGCTCCACTTTTGATGGTCTTAGTCATAGATATTCCAACTATTTTAAAGTAGGACTATTAAAATACAAGTACATTGAACAAGGATACAATATTTTAGTTTACAATTTTAAAATGACCAGACCATTTATTACTCTCAGCTCTTTTGTATTGCATAATTTGAGTTAATATAAAAATATAATTATGAAGATAATGAAACGTAAGAAGCTTCTGATAAAAAGATTAACAAAATCATGCTGATAACAAAAACAGATGCCAATGGAAAATCACTCATTCGTCAATTACTGAACAGAGTTGTCAAGCCAGAGTATTTTCTGCTCAAAATCAACAGAATTCTAAAGCCAGAAGTGGAAAAAGCAGTGTTTTACCAAAATTGCTGCAGTAGGACTCGGAAGTAGTGTCCAACAGTTGGATTAGTCACATGATCAGGCTTGCCACTTCCTGACAAGCAGGTAGGTTACAACAGGAGTATCAGGTCTTCATTTAAAAACAAAATGTATGTATACACATACGCATACTTATTTCTCTCCACATGTTTTGTTACTGTACATATCTAGTAAGACTTCAAGATACCTTCTTTTAATTGATGTAATGCTATGTAAATAACTTCCCTTACAAAGCCCAGGGAACAGACCTCAGTAAAACAATGATGCATAGTCATCAATTTTTAAACTTTGAAAAAGGCCATTTCATATGAAGAAATTAAAATAAAAACACACCATAAAAGAAAACAGACAAAACATATAAAATAATTGCATCACTTTTCCTTGAAAAAGCTGGAAACATGGTACAGGACTTCACCATGATGACTGGATACTCAATGCTGTAAGTATTGAAACAGTGAGATGAATTAAAAATTGTCAAAAGAAGAAGAAAAAACCTAGATAGTGCACTGACAATGAAAGATAAACTTATGTGTTAGGAATTGGCAGGCAAGTGATTTTCACTGACAACTTGTTTTCTGTGAACTGTGAAATGGAAGTAGGCACTTACTAGCAAATTAAAGAAAAAGGAGTATTACGAAGAAATCCATTTTAAAAAAACCAAACTACCTCACCTTAACCAAAAGAGACACTTTTCAGGCTTTTTCCCTCCCCTTCACTACAATAAACACCCTCCTTATATAAGTTCCCTCCTTGCTAAGAAGTTTAATTTACTGAAACCCACAGAGCAAAGTAACTTTTTTTTCACATTTTTGGCAACCTAGTACATCTTGACCTCAAGGTATCTTTTTTTTCATCTAAGCCTATTTTACATATTGGTCACATAAAAACAAAAAATATAATCTTGAATATAAACGTTTCCTCAGGATCTTCAACAACAAATTACTGTACAACATCTTGGTTTGTATTCATAAGGAACGTGATCTAGAGTTTGATCTAGAATTACTGTATCAGATGAGCTGGCAACTGAACTCTGATCAGTATATGGCATATGGGTAAACTCTAACAACTTCAAACTTCAAAGTATACACTTATACCATAAAAAATGAGGCATCAGAATCGATTTTAGTTTTATATTTTATATATTACAACTAAAAAAAAAAAAAATCAAAGAGACCAGTTCTGTGCGACTGTAAAGTAGGTATTGCTGGGAATACTATTTTTGAAACCTAAAAGGAATAAGGAAAAGAGCAAGGGAGACTTTCAAAGCACTTATAGCTCCATCATTTGTTTTTGAAGTGTTTAGAAAAATAATTAAAAATATGACAAGTAAGATTTTAAAAACCATGCAGACAATTTTGATACCTACAGTAAAAGTAATGCTAATACAAAACATGTTTAAGTTCTGTCAAGTGTTGAAAATATTAGCCAATGCTTCTGTATTTCAGAAAAATTCCAGCAGAGTAAATACAAATAGATGAACTGAAAATGTATGTTTCCTACTTCAATTAGAAAAAGATACACTTAAGCATTTTAAGTCAAGTTTCTACAGGAAAGTAAGTTTATACAATTGCACCATAATTTCCTCCCTCTTTTATCTTTTTCACTGGCCAATTTAATCATCAAGTTTGGAAGGGTACAAAGTTCCCAAAGTTACTGTTTTCTTAGAATTTTCTTGGAAATCAGTAGTTGAACAGTATAGAAACAACAAATGAAAGCCCTACTGAAGGAAAAGCAAGCAAAACTGGTATGAAGTTGTGTCCTAAGAGTCAATAAGCTGGTGTTCAGTGCTGGTGCCTCTCAACAGACACAGCCCATTCTCTCATAAGCTCTTCCAAGCAGATAAAGTACATAAAGAGGAAGCTCACAGGTAACTAAAGCATGCCTACAGTTGTGGAGTAAACCAGATTTCACTATTAATGCCACTAACAAATAACTTTATATTCTTCGTGACTTTAGAGAAGATATTGTACCTCCATCAGTAAGTTTGAAGCTATGAAAGAAACTACATTTTTACATCATTGCCAAGATATTTCTAAAATTTTTTTTCTCATTTTCATAATTTACAGCTACCTACAGCATTCAAATGACCCAGTGTTCGGGACCCCCTTGTAGGTAATTTATACTATAAAATTTTCTAATACTGAGAGGTATCTCCAACAAATCTGTTGAGTATAAGCATGCCAGCTTAATGACTAGCACGATGCTCAGAAAGGGATCATGGTGCACTGGACCCAGTAAAGACTTCAGTCTGATGAATTCTGTACTAGTTCAGAAGTGCATTTAAACATTAAAAAGTCAGGTAGGATCCAAGACCGTAGTAATGAAAAATAACTGCTGAGAGAGACAGAATTTCACAACTCTTACCCTGGACTTTATACAGTCGCATGGTATGTGTCACGTGGTGGAAAAAACATACAACTTCTGAGAAAATCCTTCCATGAGCAACTCTTATGATAGGTGGATCTGTAAAAATATAAGGCTACAAAAAGAAAATAGAAAGTTAGAATAATTATTTTGAAAGTTTTGCATAAAAGTAGTGTCAATAAATCAAAGTATTTAACAAATATTAAATAGTCTTTTAATTTTTTTAAACTGTTCTATATCTAAGTCTAGTCTAAAAACTGGGAATTAAAAAATTACTCCTAATCTGAAATTCAGCAACTTCTCTTCAGAGCCTCACTTTTCCTTTAGCTAAAAAATTAGGATAACCCTCACTACATATCTCACAGGTATTTTATGAGGATTAAGGAATACAAGGCCTACAGACAAACACAGTAATGTATTAATATTGCAAACATCTGGATTGAGCTTTTTTGCTAGCAAAATTAAACTTGGTAACCAGTAATCAAATACTGTAGTTTCATAATCTGTGGCAGATGGTTTAATTGTCTGTTTGGTTTGCTCACAGATTCCTGTATCAGTGGTACACACTGCATGAGGAAAGCTGTGTCTACACTGTCTTGTGGATCAGTTTGCATATCCGTTTGAAAGTGAAAGAGGAAGCTTTTTCTTCATCAAAAGCAGCTACCATTGCCAGGGGAGCCCCCTGAAATGCAGAGTAGAGCTGGGAACCATTAAAAAACCTCAAGAGGGACATTGGCTTCTTACTAATGTCTCTCAAAGACTAGCAGAAACTTTGAATATCCACAGTCAAACCAAAGAGATGAAGAAAATTATTTCCCATGTAGTCACAGTATTTTGAGTCTCGGCTAAGCAAAGAATGCTGCTTTTTTTTTAAACAGTTGATCCCAAACTGAACTGTATACACTATATAGAAATATATGGATGGCTACAAAGGTAAAAATGAGTTAAATATTAAGCGTGTACAAAGCCAAAAAAGAAAATACAACACATGCAACTACTACTATAGAGCAACAGCAATAAATAGACTTCACTCAAAAAAACCAAAAAAACCCTCAAAAAACCATGTTATTCAGAGGGATCTAAGCAGAAAGCTCTTAGAGGGTGGCTGTCCTCCTGCTGTATGTAGCAATGTCATAAGAAGGACAGAGCATGCTCTTCTCAAGCAAGGAAACCAAAGATCAAATGTATCTTGAGGAAGAGAGGAAATCAAGATTACATCAATACAGACAAAATATGTCAGAGAAGAACAAGTACAGGTACATATCATCCAATCTTCTTTGAGCATATAATTATATGTACATTCACAGAGAAGATTTCAAGAAGTATTGCATAAAAGAAGAAACTGAAAGAGACCTTCAAATTCTTAAAAGCCTGCCTTTCTATTCATATATTCATTCTTAAAGCTTCAGACAGAACACTGTTTAATAAAAGCTTTGCCAGAGCTCCAAGAGGCAACTCTACAGCTATCAACTACAGGAATACTTTGTACAGGAATTTGGTAGAGGAATCATAGTTGCTTACACTTCGGTAAGATGGGTTGTTTTAGGGAGAGAGGGATTTTTCTACTGATCATCTTACAGCAATGTTTCACTCAGTTAATCAGTACAAAAACCCAAATGAGGAAATAGTCTTTTGGACTTCACAGTTGACATGAAAAAATGATGGGATCCTTCCAAGGGGTCTCATCTTGTCAATAAGACAGACAAGTGTTATCTATTATGCAAAATCCATTTGCTAGCTGAGAAATACAGGAGTATGGTATTACGAGGGCATGGAAACCAGGCAAATTAATATGCTGGGATAAAGGAAATCTGAAGACTAGAACTTAAGGTTAGAATTTGAGCTGGCTTTTGGGCTCTCTTATTTCCATGAAAAACTGCCAATATCTGTTTATGTAGACTGAATCTTCCCCTTTCTTCTGGCAGAAGAGATCGCTATCTATCTGCTTATCTATCACACACAGGTAGAGAAGACAAACTCATTTAACCTATGACTACACGCTCCTAGAAATATATGTTTAGATTAAAATCCCACGGAGGAACTGGATTACTGACAGGAAGGTGGAATAATCAAATCCTTCAAAATCCTACCTTCAGGGTAGGGCAACATGAAGATCCTCAGGTTAGCAATGAAGGACTGAAACAGCAGCTAAAGGAACTCTCAGAAAATTAACTGAGAAACCTGAGGTCTTCAGGCCGAGTAAATACCCTTGCCAATTATTTTCTAGGAGAATACTACTTATACAAACAGCAGCCTGCCAAATACATTCTGTTAGCAAAGTCACACCTATCTTATGGGCTTATTTCTGTTGTTTGTAAGAACATTTCTCACTGGAGCTATCCAGGACCAAACCAGCAAAATGGAGAGATGCTGGATGAGTGACAAAGGAATACAAAAGGCTGTGCACTTATTAAAAAAAGAAAAAAATACCTGGAGTAATTTTTTTTAAAACAAAAAGTAAAAAAATATACACTTGGAGGAACTCTGTTCCATTTAGCGTTAGTATAAAACATGATGGTGACATTGACAACTACCACCAAAATACATTGTTGCCATACAAGTAGAAAGCTGAAATGAGAGGAGTTTAACAGCTCTGAGGTTCTGGGATATTGCCACAAACTCTAAATTCACACACCAGAGTCTCCAAGCTGCCCATGTAGCCAGATCAGCTCCCCAGCTGAAGATAAAGGCAACCATACTTCCCATTCTGAACTATATGGAAAGATGAGGTGATAGGGAATAAAAGGAATTAAGTGTCATTTTGCAGATGTTGTCTGAAAGTAATGAATTTTTTTAAATCATAATTTGTGATTCCACTAGCATATGCATTGAGAGAAATGTATCAAAACCAGTTTGCAAGCCTCTAATTCAGACACAGCGTGGGGAAAAGGAACAAATGAGGAAGGAGAGTCACAAAGGCACATGCTATCATGTGGTTTTGGGGGTTAGACAAGTTCTTTCTGATACAAAGAGTGGAGATATGATGTATACTCAAGTTCTCAAGGATGCCTGTTGCTTCCTGATTGTTGGGCAAACAGGAAAAATGAAGAAAAAATATGGTACTGAGAGAACAGGGAAGCCTCCTAGTTCATATTTAGTGCCTAGAAAAGCACTAGTCCTAGAAAGCAATTTCTTGATAGTCATCTGGAGACATACTGAGTTCAGAACCTATAAAGAGATGTAAGACAAAGTTTGCCACACTGAAAACATTTCAGTGAATCAGGCTTTTAAGCAGGAAAACATCTTTAGGCATTGAATGTGCAATTATTCTAGTATCTTTATAAAGATCCTTGGTGAGATGCACAGAGGCCTGTGAAATGTTCCTGGTCCTAGCTCTGAAATATGAAGATACTTTTGATGTGAAAGTCTGACTAAGATTCAGAAATAGGCCTCTTACTACTGAGACGCAAACCACTTTCCTGTCCACTGATTGGACAAAGCACTGGTCTGAATTCAGTATTTACTCTTCTTTGAGTGGGAGCTTGGACTAAATGACTTTCCAGCATGAAGGATTCTATGATTACTCAGATCTTAAATCAGGAATAAAAATATTTGGGTCTCATATCCAGTGGTAGTCTCAAGACTCCACTTCCTAAACAGTTAAAAAGAATAGTCACTGTAAAATCTGTTCCTCTCAGCTCCACTGGAATGAGTTCCATTGTACAAGATTCAGCAGCCTGCCATGGCAGGTTTTGTTGAACCTGGAAAGCAGTATTTTCAGAAACAGGATAACAGAATTATAGGTCAAAGGGTCCAGAAACCATTTTTCAATGGTTTCAAGAGAAATATGCAACCTCTCCTTGAAGTAAGGAAAAAAAAAAGCAAGCTAGATATTTTAAGGGAGAATACTTGGAGCAAAATAATATCCCATAGCTCCCTAGGATATCTGAAAATACTTGGCATCAAATTGGGTGCCAAAGCGCCAAAGGGCAGAGATAACTGGAAAGATGCCTTCACTTAAAGGTTTACTGGCTTGCACAGAAGCTGGCATGGCATATTGCAGCCTGAAGGCATGAAGCATGGGCAATAAGTCTTTCCCCTTGTAGTCAAGTGAAGCACTACTAACCATCTTAGTGTAGCCTAGAAATTTCTGGCAGTGCAGCACACTGTTGGTGTGGAAGTCAAACAAACTATGCCCAGAGGAAAGTTTTCCAACACAGACTGAATTGCTATTGATATGCCTGAGATTTTAAAAAAGAACTCAAGACTTCAAGAAAAGTTGCTTCTCAATAGCAGATTACCCTTCATTTGTCAGGATTTGAGATTAGACTGGGCTTGGCAGGGGTGGAGGTGGGGCAAATACTATGAGCTCTTGAGAACTGTGTTTTAAGAATTACATGGCAGAAGAGAGACGGTTGTCATTTTAATACTTTTGTCTCCGAAAACAACCCCACCAATATGTGGGGCAGATTTTTAGGTGATAGATATGATGCTTGAGGAAAATACATAGCACCAAGGAAAGAACGGACACTTCAAAGGCAGCCGATTCTTGAGTATTGTGAGCACCCTCCAGATAATGGTTCCTGCGTATTTATCTTTTCCTGTTATCAGACATGCAAAAACAGGGGATGCATTAAAAGTAAGGATACTATGCTTGAATGAGGATCCTCTGCCTTTTTGAGAGGGAAGATCTTAAGATGGATACAGTGGGATACTCTAAATGGATAGTCTCTCTTTTGAGGCAGTGCAACATCCCAGTCTCACTTAAAAAATGCAGAAAGATACCATTACCTTTTCCTTAGGTTTGAAGGCCAAGCATTTAGGTAACTCAGATATGTGTTTTTCTCTGAGAAGTAGAGTGAACAGGTAATCCTGACATACTAAAAAAGGACCTGTCATGAAAAAAGTTTCCTGAAGCTCGTAGCAGCAGCTGCAGCTACACAAGTCAGAGATCATCATCAGTAAAGGAAGCCCAACCATGGAGACAAAGTGTGAAGAGGAAAAAAGGGAGAAAAGCTCTAACACTAGAGATCCTGCAGGATTAAAAAAAAAAAAAAAAACTTTTCTTATATATTCTGTTAGTACGTAAGTACCTACAGCAACTAGTGCATACATATGTGCATAGACACAGCTGCCTGAGGGAGAATCACAATTTCCCAGTCTGGGTCTACCAAAAAAAGTCCACTTTGATTCTGAAAAATTGATTTGTAAAACAAGAAAATGAACCACTCACATTGATCCCACAAACACTTAGTATCTGACTCTTTGGAAAAACTGCTTTGTTCTATTCCCTATTGATACTGAACATGGCTAGTAAGTAGGTCATCACATATTGACTTGTCTTGAACACATAGAAGAAAATATAGACATTTAACTGTTTCAAATTTTATTGAATACTGATTTTTTTCCCCCAGATCTAACAGATTTACGGAGTTGGCCATGCTTCACAAAATCACAAGAGATGCAAACATGTTTTCCCTCCATACACAGGATGCTTTTGTTTATATTTGTTGTGAGGTCCAAGGAAGTCCCTTCCTTCCAAACCTTGATAACGTTGTCAATCAGTTAAGCAGCACTGACATTTTAAAAAATTAAGATACTGCCTGTCTTTTTCCTTGGTACCTTGCTTTTGTTCTATTTTGCAGAAAATACAAAGACATGATAGGAGCACTGCCTTATCTCTAGAGCTGCAGCATGGAGCCTCTGCTCTGTGTCATTGTCCTGGATTTTGCACTGGTGTCCTGACCTGAGGCTGCCACTGAACTACTTTCACACTTCAGAGACAGCAGGGACAGAATCATCCATGCTCAAGACCCTATGCCACCACCCCAGAGACCGTTCTTACTGTGAGCTGTCTAGCTGCACCATGGCAATGCACTGCACTGCACCAAACACAACATTTGCCATGGTGTCGTGGAGCCTTAAGTCCAGCTATTCCTTCCAGAGAAGTAACAAAGAGTTATTGGTGTTCAGGGTACCTTCTATTTAATATGGCGTAAATCACTGCCATTAAACCAGGTCTCTGCTGATGTCCAACTTAGTGCTGGTACTAGAGGCTTACCACTTCTTAGCAAGAACGCACTCTTTGCAGTACTCCAGGCTGGTTTTATGTCAGCCATAAAGATGATTAATCCAAGGAACCTCTTGAAAAATTCAGATCCGTGTACATTCTAGTACACAGACCATCACCTGCAGAAAACATGACCTCCACCCATAATAGCCTACCGATGACCAGAGCTGCACTATGTGTGTCAAGTGTTCTAAACTGACATGGCTTTAAGTCATGGCCTGCAAGCCTAGCATGTCACAGCACCAAGTTTCCAAAATTAAACTTGCAGAAGAACCCAAGATCAAAAAGGCTATATACGTACAGACGCAAGACAGACGATTAAAATAGATGAAGAAAAAGAATCTCTGAGTAATGAAGAACTGAAAAGAAAGGAACCAAAAGACTTACCAGGTAACAAAACAACCAGCTAACAAAGGCAAAGAAAACACATAACTGTACTCATACCAGAAGAAAATGACCCAACATTAAAAGCAATTATTCTTTGCAAATTTTGCAGTAATACATAGGGTGAGAGGGATAGGAAAAAAAACCACCTAGCCAAAAATCAAGAAAACTGCCTGTAACCTATCCTATCGCCACTCTACACAAGGACTTAGAAAGTGTTACTCAATCCACCTCACACTGAGAACCCTGAACAGATGGCATTTCTTTTAAGACAGAAATCATTAGTTCAAACTGTTTTAGAAACTACTATAGAATTACATTGTTATTCCCAGTGGGAAAACCTAATTAATGTTATTAAAATGCAAGCCAAATGAGCCTTATGGTATATTAATGAAGCAGAATTTTTAGAAGTATCATGACTTCATTTTTATTGTATAAAAAGTTACAAAAGCTGATCACACCACCCTTTTTAATGTTAACTAAAATGTACTTTAATTTCATTTTCCACAAAAGTTCAATATGTACCTTATCTTCTAACTGTGCTTGCAGGCACGTGAGACTTTTTCTGTTCAAACCATAGCATTTTGCTATCTAGATTTGTCCAGATTATTTTTATAAAGCAAATAATGCAAAAAAGTGTAGTTAAAATTACGTAACTGTTTAGTTATTATTGTTTTTATAAGTAAAAGATGAAGTAGCATCTAAAATAAAATTAGCTAAAGTGTGACCATGCAGCTGATGAAAGGTAAAAATTAAAAAACATAAGTGATATTGTTCAGGTATTCACCAATCAAAAACACTGACATTTAAAAATTCAGAATAAGTGAACCCTGTTGCACATAACTGATGCAAACAATTATGGGACTAAATATACTAAATGGTTTAAAACTGCCAACTCACAGACCTCAAAATGTGTGCTTCTAGGAGACTGCTAAAAGGAAAGTAAACTGCTCTGTCCACTTCCAGACTGATTTACACATATAACAACAACAAAAAAAATTAGAATGATTACAGTTGCTTATTTCCTGAAATAGTAAACATAGAACTCCGAGTTTGCCTTATGCATGCAACTTAAGTTTCCCCAGGAGAAACTGGGCAGAAGAAATATGATGCAAACTAGCTAGCTTCTTAAAAGTGTTCATTATCTCATCATCTGCTTTCTGAAATATCACCTTTCCAGTTCCAAAAGTGGTACAGTAGATTCCGTATGGTAATTAAGTCAGTGTAAGAACACTTTCATTTCTGAATTTCCAATTTGGAAACTATTAAGAGTATGCTGTTGCCCTCCCTCCAATAATTACGCAGCTAAAAATACTGATAACCCTAGGCAACTAAATCAGAATAGTTGCTTGCTACTCTGTCTTTACATTCATCAATAGGGACTCAGTATCTTAATTACTATATTAAACTACATATGCTAATATCAGCTAAAAAAAGTACTACACTATGAACTGGAAGCTCCTCATTCACAATAAAGAAGTCTTCAGAATCAGAAAAGTGAAGAAATGCAGAAATGAATCAGTATGACCTATACATTTTCACCATAGGAAGTGAAAGTGAACTTATTTTTTTGATAGTGAATGGTCACATCTCACTGGATTTCTTGCAAGGGTAGCATCTTATTTAAGTTTTTTGGTGAATCATAAATATTCTGTATATTTTTACACTTTAAAATTAATGCAGTGTTTTTACCAAAATCTAGGGTTATTAATTATGAAATTCTGCCAATCATTTCAGTAACTGATGTCATTATTTCTAGCCACACAGCTGTATTTCAGTGTTGGGGAAAACTAGCTCTTCCAATCTGTATTTGCAGAATGCTTCAAGTTACTTCAAGATCAGAATTTCTCTGCAAATGGAAGATTTACCTTGGCATCTCCATCTGGTAAGAAGAGATAAGCTCCACTTTTATCCCGGTTACTTGTAGTTCCATACCAGGCAAACTCCACCTTCATTTGATGATTTTTACCATCATCTTTGGTATTCATTTTCTAAGGACAGAGAATCATGTTTGAAATAGTTGACACATTTAGGTTTCCACGAGTAAGAACAGAATTTCTTAAAAAAGTAAAACATAGTGTTTCGTAATATACTGCAACACACCTCCAGTAATCCAGACATTCCAGAAAACCATAGTTTCATGTAAGAATTTTCTAAGATTATATTATCCACAGAATTCTGCATCTCTTTTATGTTGAAAAGTCTGTCTGGCTTCTCCTGCCTACTGTTCTTCATGTATATGTTATAGTCTGCTAAAACTGCTTCTGAACTCTGAACCTCCAAAAGCTGGTAAACTCCAAGCCCCAGAGGTGGTAGATGCGCCACGAAAAAGATCTGTTGGGAGCAAAGAAGAAGCCATTACTAAAAACATCAAAGTATCAACTTTTTATACTAAATTTATGCTCAGAGTAACTCCTTTTGATTCAATAATTTTAGGATGGCTGAATTTTTTCCCATATTCCATAAATGAATATGAACTTACAAATGACATTCCAAAATTAATAGCTGAAGCATGTTAAGAAGAATTAGCAAACAAAAATGTCTGCATCTCTAATTTGCTTGGCATCAAGATCACTGTTATATTAATGCAATGATTTTGAATCTTGTTAAAAAAGAATATTAGCTGTGATGTGCAGTTCTGAGGATATTCGCTGTGCATTAAAGATATGTGTGTAGCGCATCAAGTGCACATAGACCCTACTTATCACTTAAGTTGCATTTAAAAATCCACAAATTTAAATAGGAAAATATAAAGCAACTGTCTCATTTTTAGTCTCTGGTTATTTAGGAGCTATAAAGTAACCTGCATAGAAGAGAAATACACAAGGTAGATCTCCAAAGCAATTTGCTTAGAATTTGAGGTATAGATATGCAATTTTATTTCTTCTTCAGGCAATTAACAGTGTTAATTATTGTACTGGTTTTGCCTGGGATAGAGTTGAATGTCTTCAACGTAGTATGAGGCTACATTTTGATACCAACAGTGTTGATAACACAGGGATGTTTTAGCTATTGCTGAGCATATGGGCCTCAGCATACGCAGCATCAGGGCCTTTTCAGCTTCCCATGCTGCTCTGCCAGCGAGTAGGCTGGGGGTGCACAAGAAGTTGGGAGGGCACACAGCCGGGACAGCTGACCCCAACTGACCAAAGGGATATTCCATACCATATGATGTCATGCTCAGCATATAAAGCTGGGGAAAGAAGAAGGAAGGGGGGACGTTCGGAGTGATGGCGTTTTTCTTCCCAAGTAACCATTATGTGCGATGGAGCCCTGCTTTCCTGGAGATGGCTGAACACCTGCCTGCCGACGGGAAGGAGTGAATGATTTCCTCATTTCACTTAGCTCACATGCACAGCTTTTGCTTTACCTATTAAGCTGTCTTTATCTCAATCCTCGAGTTTTCACCCTTTTACTCTTTCAAGTCGCTCCCCCATCCCACTGGGGACAGTGAGCGAGCAGCTGTGTGGGGCCGAGCTGCTTACTGGGGTTACCCCACAACAACTATCAATAATTATCCCTTTGGAGGACAACTGAGAGACACTTATTGAATTATCTTCGCAGGAATGTTATCCTGAAACAAGTTCAACTTGGCTCCCAAGTCAAAAGGAATCAGACTAAGACTGTAAGCCTGGAAGTAAAAAAATAGAGCTTATACAGTAGTATTGTATCACCAGGAATTTAACAAAATACAGTTTCTGAAGTATGATCATTGAGGACAATCTTCTATAATGATGTATGATTCAAAAATTCTCAGAAACTTTGTTTAAAACCAAAAACAAGAGGCGGACTCAAAGTCATCTGTCTAGCTTGAGTATAAGAGTAAAGGAGATTATTATCCAGCCTCTATAACTGGAAGACAAAAAAACCCCAGAACAACAACAAAAAAATCAGAATCTAACTGCTTAAGCCATTGCACTTACAAAACCTTCCAGCTGGAGTGCTTGAGCACATACAGACTGTGTGACTGTGTATATGGACTATCACTTGAAGGAAAAAGCAGCTTTAGAAAGTTGGGGGAAAAGACACACATCCAGTATTTTCTGTTCATGCAGCCGAAACTAACCCTTTAAATGTAATACTCCATATCACAAAAGTTTAAAAACTTACCAGTTTAAGAAACGTTAATGCTAAATATATATGGTTTTTTTTTTTCCTTAAAATGACTGAATTAATGGCATTATCTGCAGAAGACAGAACTGCCAATATTTGAAGTATGCTTTCCATTTTCTTCAACTGTGAAGCTACAATATCTGTCAAAAAAATACCTTAATGCTTTTTACTTAAAGTATCATACCTGATATGCTTCATGTGATACTGTAGTTGCTCCATCCCAAACAGCACTAATCTGGACAGTAACAGGTTTTCCCAAAGGAGATAATAATTTCACTCTGGGTGAATTCACATTGACTGAAACCACTGAAAATCGCTCTTGTTCCGTAGGATTATATATCAAAAGGTACCTGCGAAAACATATTTGCCAAATTATCTTTTGGCAAACAAGCTTCCTCCTTCAGGTTTAATATTATTGCACATAAATTTTACATACAAAGCATTGAAACAATGTTAGAACAACAGGTACATACCACAACAAATAAATATGCAAAACATAACCAGGAAACAATGGATATTTAACATCAATTCTTGGCAGATCTTCTTTTTTTAATGCTATTATTTTTCCAAGCAATTTTGAAAATACCTTATTGATTTCCCATCTTAACTACTAAAGAATTGCTATTAACAGTTGCAAGCACAATTGAAATATTTAAGGGTATTTTAAATGTATTTTTCAGTCTGAACTATTAAATTCTTATCCACAGTTGCTTTCCCTTTAACATAATTTAGAAACAATCAAGTAATGAACAAAACCTGCTGTACATACACATATCTGATATATATTCTTTAAAGCAACTAGTTTCTCTCTGCTATAAGGGAAAGTTCAGAATTATTTAAATTATAATTTACCAACATTTCCTATGGCAACTGTCTGCATATACGCTGAAATAATTTTATTAGGTACATATGGAATAACTAATCTCTATGTAATCTTATGCCTGTTCTTCCATTTGAGCACAGATTATGTTACTAACCAAAAGAATCAGCCCTGAAACTGTATAAAGCAACTTTATTAGCCTACATAATTTTTTTTTTTTATTACAGGTTCATATATTGTATGGTATAGAAAAATAAAATGATACTAGAACATTTGTGCTTTATGCATCTGTAGGACTATCATTGTATTTCCTATCTTTTCATTGCCAAGCTCAAAGAATGCACTATTTACAACTGTTCCCTGAAGTTCCCCTCTGCTTATTTCATCCTTTAAAAAAATTGTCTTTAACAATGAAAAATGTTCTTGACAAAATTTCTAATAACTTCTTAGATACACAGCAGAACCAATAGTCTATCTTCAACCTCCTTGACCCTTCCCACTGTAAAACACAGTTTACTTCTTCATGAAATCTTATCTTTCAACAGTTTCCATGATATCCACTTGTTACTTATCAAATCACTCCTTCGGCATTTCTTCTAAGTAGATTCTCCTCATTCTCTGTTCTGTTTTCTATGCAGATTCCTCAGGGTTTTGTCAGTGATTTTCTTTCTTTTCCTTTCACATCCTAACCTTCAAATTCAGTTACCACCTTCACAGATCAAACCGCTTCATCTAGAATTGTCTCCTTCCACCCAAACTAGAAATCTCATTCTGTCACTCAGGTCTTTTAACTTAAACATCAACTGTAGCTTGAACCTCTTTCCATAATCTCACATTCTGACTGTAAGTCTTCCAGGTTCCTTACCCATACATTTAGATGCTCTGTGCTCCATTATTTGCTAGCCTGGCACTACAGTACAACTAAGGTCCTGCTAACAAGTGACTTACATAGCTAAACTCTTCAATCTTTTCTCTTTTCCAACATTAGCTCTAAATGGACTGAGGGTAGCCCTCCTCTACACACATGCCAGAGGAGAGTGAGGTCTCCCTGGCATCATAAAATCTGGCAGGCAGTGGACAAAACTGCTGAGATGATACTTTGGAAATAATGAAAGAGCAACATTTCAGGGCTGAGAGGCAGCAGCAAACTGCTTAGAGTTAATAAGGAAGTACAAATTTAACTCCTCCTTATTCTGAGAGAGAGGACTTCTACACAATTTCGGTGTAAAGTCAGAGAGACTAAGTTAATCCACCTCTGAACTATGAATGCAATACCCATACACAAGGAAAATTCTTCCTTCTCTATAGTGCTGAAGAATCTCACCTACTCTCTTTCCATCCTGCCCTTTGATTTTTTTTTTGCAACACTACTTTAATTTCAATAAATGCAGTTTCGCTCTATGGATACTCAGAATCCTTATGAACACTAACCAGGCTACCATTTTCCCCTTATCTTTTTATTGGCTCTTTTTTCCCTGCATCAAACTTAGGCTGTTAATCTTCAATTTCATAGCCCTTAACTCCTACCCTATTACCTCACAATCAGTAGGAAAGGTCAACTCCAACTTCTCATTAGTTGAATAAACTAAAATCAGAGGCTATATTAGCTTTTTCTACCAAGAACCTTTGGATTACCTGCCATATATAGAATGGGCTTCCCATAAAAAAATATTTTCCTTTTAGCTCCTTAGATGAAGATTCCTCTGCTAAATATTTTTAAGTCATGACTTCTGTGCATAACAACTATTTTCCTTGCGTATTTGTGCATCTAACTGTGGTCAGTTGCCTTCCAGCACAACCAAAAACACTTTGGGATGCTTTTTGCCCTGTTTCATGTTGAAGACTCCTAGATTACTAGACAACACAATAGTTAACTGTACTCTTGGTCAGCTTTTGGAGTCTTTAAGAACTTGTGCAAGACTTTGTGAGAGCCTCCCCTAGGCTGGGGTAGGTCATTTTACACTTTTGCTTAACTGAAGATGTCTTCTTTTGGAAAAGATTTTAATTTAAATGTTAACATAATTTTTTTGTAACAGTTGTGGAATCAAAACCAAACTAAACCAATACTGCTCTCAGTCTAGACCCCTTAAAAAGTAGAAAGAAAAAAAAAAAAAATTAGTGAAATACTTTAAGAACTCCTCATATACTGTGAAAGAAGAGTGTAAGAACAGTGTCAGAAACAATACAGATCTAAGAGATGATCCAACACCAAAGCTCAGAATAAATCATCATTCTCATCCCTCAATAGAACATTACAAACATCTTTTCTTTCTATACAGTGGAATTCCTCAATTCTTATGCCTCCAAGTAAAATGCTACCTTATGCATACAATTCATTTCTAGTAATGCTATACATCCTCATTAAATTTAAATTATCTGCCAAACAAAGAACATATTCATGTAAAAATATTTCCAGAAACTTTGTTCACCTTTCCATTGATATAAACACGTTTCACAACTTTAATTAGTCGCATGACGAATTTACCCATGACAAAAGACCTTAGGAACTGCCATGTTACCACCATATTTCACCAGACTATTTTTTTTTATTTTTTATATTTGGATAAAACAAAGCTATTGTTGTACCAAGGTACGTACGTTTTATACCTTCTTGAATCAATGTATTGTAAGTGCATTATGTGTATGTAAGAGTAATAAGCAGTCAGACGAAGCTAGTAATGACAGGGCAGATTTTCAGCAGTTGAAATGCAGGAATTTTGCCTAGATGCTAGTATTTTGTTTGCAAAATTTATTTCAGCAGGACTGAAGTATTTATACTCAGTAAGATATAATTCTTGTGCATATACAAAAGCAGTGACTAATGTAACTAAATCACATTACTTCTGAAGTATCATTCAACTCCCACCCTTAAATAACATCCCACTATAAATATTTTAAATTCTCTATGAAACAAAAGAACTACACTTCACTTAAGCTGTATCATTACAAAGAATGTCATCCACAAATGTAGAGTACAACTACTTAATGTATTGTGGTGACATTACACAGAGAAGCAACTTGACAATATTTAAAGGTTTTCTATTCCAGATTTTAAGGCAAAAACATGAATATTACTGTCTTTCAGAAGCAGCAAGCAATTATTTTCCTTTCATTATTCAGATCACTGGTCTTTGGCAACAGCATCAAGAAAACTACAAAAGCTCACATCTTTTGTCCAAATAAAGGGGGAGGGTTTTTAATGCCTAGTGGTAAAATCCAGATGAAAAATTTTGCCCAAAATATTTTACTTTAGAAACACCATTATGGCCAAGTGTCAGCCATTGTTTCTTTCACTTATTCAAGAAATCAAAGAATTCTGACACTATTTTAATATAAACTGTATTGAAACAAAAGGAAATCATATAACTTTCTACAGATAAAACCACAACCAATTTACTCACACACAGACCACATATTCCATCTGAGCAATGGGAGCAGGAGTAAACTGCTCTCAGCTCCTCAAAAAATGAGAAACAGGTGCAGATTTGAGCTCTTAATCCTGAATTGGATGCATCTCTGATATGCAAATATTTGCAATTTCAGAAAAGCAAATCCTGCCACCTGCTTTTCAGACACTTTTGGAAAGATATACCTTGAATTTTTTTACCCCATACTTTTCTGGGTCTCTGAAACCCAGAACGAGTATCTTTTATTCATACAAGCATGATCATTTTCCTTATATAACCTACCATATGCCATTAATAAAATTGTCTATTAAATACGTACATTCAAGCATCAAAGAATATTTTTACTAGTCTTTCCTGTAGTAAAGATTTAACTTGCTGTGAAACATTTTCAGCCAGAGCTGAAAAAAGCCACCTTCCATTCTTATTTCAAATACTTTCTTTATTAAATTATCAAGAAAATATGTAAACTGGTGTAGCTATATTCACAGGCAAAATGTGAATAAAGCTGATTCAGATCTCCAACCACTTTAATCTTGTTCTCCTAGAAGAATGCTACTGCAAATTTCATTTCTTAAACTGAAAAGTTACATTATTTCAGACCACCTTTTTTTTGTCTCACTGATGTGCATAAACATATGGGCATACATATATATTGATGCATAGACACATTTACTGGTAACACCCGCAACACAATTACCTTTTCTTTTAAAGTTCATTCAATGCTGCCTTCACAAGCGATGCGTTCAACTAATGTGAGAAACTGGAACTCCTTACTAGTAAATGTCAGAGGATCATCAATGACAAAGGATTATTCAGAAAACCACCTCTTCAAGACACTTGGACTCAGGACAGCTTAGAACAGCTTTCATTGCTTAGTGGAGGACTTTTATTCAAGTTCGCTTTGAGACCCAATTCCTTGAGGCACTCTAGCTGAGACTGACCAATTTTACTAGAATTTCTCTGACAAACCTTCGCAGACAGATTAGAGCATTTCCCATTATAGCTCATCAGAACCAGTTCTCTGGGCACTTATGCACAATTTCAATGCAAAGTTACATGAACAGCACCTTCGAAGCTGGTTAGTTTCTTTCCCTCTTCTGTTACAGAGGCTAAGCTAAAAAAC